GCAACAGCTGCAGCAGCTGCAGCAACAGCTGCAGCAGCTGCAGCAGCAGCTGCAGCAGCTGCAGCAGCAACATTAGCACTCACCTGCACTCCTCCAAGCCCCACAGCATGCGCCAGGGCAAGTGCATGTAGCCCAGGCCCGTAGCCGAGAGCAGCAGCAGCAGCAAAATGTTTGACAGCAGCAGCAGCATCGCGGCGCACCCCGAAGAGTCCAGAGATGCCTAAACACAACCAGCAGCAGCAGCTCCTGCTGCACGAACAGCAGCAGCTGCTGTAGGGGCAGCAGCAGCTGTTGTAGGAACAGCAACTGCTGGTGCAGGAACAGCAGCAGCTGCGGCGGAGACAGCAGCACCGGCAGCAGCAGTTGCAGCAGCAGCTGCAGTGGCAGAAGCGTAAGCACCTGCTGCAGGAGGAGCAACAGCAGCAGCAGCTGCTAGAGTAGCAGCAGCAGGATCAGCAGCAGCTGCTGCAGGGGGCAGCTGCTGCAGCTCACCTGAAAGCTGCAAGTCCCCCAGCTCGCAATGGGCTTGGGCCGCCACTGAGTCCGTCCCATTCTCCTCCTGCAGCAGCAGCAAAAGCAGCAGCAACAGCAGCAGCAGCAGAACCTGCAGCAGCAGCAGCAACGGGGGTGAAGGATAAGAACGGCAGCTCTTCAACGAAACCAAAGGGGGACCCCAGGGGCCCCCACAGGACCCTCTCAGGACTCCAAAGGGGGCCCCCTAGGGGCCCCTGGGGGTCCCTAGGGGGCCCCCCAGGGGCCCCCACAAAGGCCACTGAGGCATTCGTTGGAGGCCCCTAAAGGGGCCCCCCGGTACCCTTTTGAGAGCCCCAGGGGCCCCTCACCTCTCGCAGCTTCTTGGGGGCCCCCAAGGGGCCCCCCAGAAGCCCCAGGGGGCCCCTTAAGGAGGCTTTAGGGGACCCCATAGGGCCCTCTTGAGAGGCCCTTGGGGCCCCCTAGGGGCCCCTAGGGGGCCCTAGGGGCCCCCGCACTTGGGGCCCCCTAGGGGCCCCAACTAGGGGCCTCTCGGGGCCCCTATGGGGGCCCCCAAGGGCCCTCTGGGGGCCTCTGGGGGCCCCAGAAAGTCTCTATCGGCGAGTCTAGGGTTTAGGCTTTAGGGTTTAGGATCTAGGGTTTAGGGTTTAGGGTTTACAATTATAGCTTCCAGCAAGGCCTGGGCCTTGTGCTGGTCTCGCTGCTTTCCTCCTTCGCCAAACCTGCGCAGACCCCAGACTCCAAACCCTAAACCCTAAACCCTAAATCCTAAACCTTAAACCCTAAACCCTACACCCTAAATCCTAAACCCTAATGCCTTGCTATCTGAAGTATTCAGCGACTCTCGAGAAAAAGACTAAACTGTCCCTGCCTGGCCGAAGGTTAGGGCTTAGGGTTTAGGGTTTAGGGTGTGCGGTTTAGGGTTTCAACGACGTTTTACAGTGTTGACAATTCAAGGCTTAGCGGTCTTAGGGTTTAGGGTTTAGGGTTTAGCGGCTTACTTCAGCTGCAGCGCCTCTGCTAGCTTTCGTTCTCTTTCTGGAGACGCCTGCGGTGCTCCGCTGCTGCTGTTGCTGTTGCTGTTGCTGCTGCTGCTGCTGCTGTTGCTGCTGCTGCTGTTTCCTGCAGCAGCAGCAGAGACAAAGGGAGCCCTCGGCGTCCTTCGCGCAGCTGAGCGCCGCCCTTGCCCGCAAGCAGCAGCAGCAGCAGCAGCAGCAGCAGGAGACGACCGGAAGCAGCAGCGACAGCAGACCAGCAGAAGCAGCAGCGGCAGAAATAGAAACAGCAGCAGCAGCAGCAGCAGGCGACGGTGTGCACTCACCAGGCAGCGGTCCAGGGGGCCCTGCATCAGCAGCAAAGCTGCTGCCAAAAACATGGAAAGACAGCAGCAGCAGCAGCAGCAGCAGCGGGGGCGGTCTGGGGGCCCCCGGGGGCCCCCCGAAGC